TGAAAACATGTTGGTTGCTGCAGCATAGCTGCATGATGTTAGTATGGAATGGCAGATTGCAGCATTACTGCAACTGGAAAGTATAGGCAGCGAATGCTGTGGCTACACCATGGTTATGCAGCGGGGGCTGCATGAAGTTAAGAGGTTATGGGTAGAGGCAGCGGGGGCTGCAACTACTGAGTTTAGACATTGACGCAGCGAGGGCTGCCTGTTAAGTCGTTAATGAGGTATTATTAATTACAATAATAAAATTAACAATAATAAAACCCACACAAAATATACCGGTACCTGAGAAAAAATATGAATGATCTTGGGGGGATATGGGCTAATCCCAATAGGCGAAGTCCTCGAAATGATGCAATTGTTTCAATTGCAGAATAACCCCCACCTGTACATATCACAGTCAAGCCATTTTTCTCTCACGATGAATATTTTAACGTCAATGTTGAAAGCCTAAAATCTGGTAAATTCGATTTCACAAATAACAAATTGGATATGGATTGTATTTCTACTTTTTATGTCAGACTATGGTATCAATCATGGAGAAATTACTGGGTGTGAGGGCTTGCCTTACTATACCCACTCAATAATTAATTGTCATGTCAGTTGCAAATGACTGATAATAATTTATTTTGACTGCAATACTAAGTATTATTTCTATCAAAGCCCACACAATTTGAAAACAAATTTATGAGTAATGATTTGGCTGATTTTATTTTCACCCGAGAGGCTGGAAGTTTTTATGCCAAAAAAAATTTAGGGTTATAATTTAAAAGCAAAACAATTCTTCCATCCAAGTGAAAATAAATCAGATAGTAAATAAATTTACTATGCACACAAATTCACAAGATCTAAAGACCTCAGATTTACAAGCAGACTTGAATGGAACAGATTAATCCTGAAATTTGCACTAAATACTGTAACAACAATGTTTTCTTGCATGCAATTATGACTAATTACACGCATACAGTGTGTACATACATAAATAAATTCACAACAAGGCAAGCAGTAATTCACACAGCAATAAATCACAAAATAATTATTTGCAATTCCCCCTGGACATTGAAATCACCTTGTTACAGTGTATATATAGCTAAAGAGTAACATGTATTTGTCAATATTACAGGTCATACTACTTGTAATGATATTCCTCAAGCATTACCATAATGTCAGAGTTTTAGATTAGGTTCCATATACAAATCACTTTAATTGAATCAATCAGTGAATGAAACGCCAACAGGAAAGGCTGCAAGAGATGCATGGATTGAAGATTGAATGAACCCATTAGATACAATGGTTAACAGAGTTCCAGTATCAATACTATCATTACGCAGCACCATGCACCTTTTTATCACCCTCTGATTAGCGGATATTCTTTCTACAAATGCCCTTTCCATATTCAATCAAATCATTAAGCATAAATATCTATTCAAGAATATAGCACCAACCAAATATCTGTATATTATTATCAAAATATTTTTTCTAGTAGTATTATCACATATCAAAAATGTATTTTCTGAAATATGCTGTTCAGTGATACAATATCAAATATGATTACATACAGGAAAGAGCATTCTGCAATATTCCAACTTAAATCAGATTTGCATACTACACAATATACAATTTGTGCTAAATAATTCAATAAGAATTTCCACAATCCAGTTGATGTGTTCATTTCATTGAATTGTTCCAATCATGTGACAGAATCTATAAAGCTACTGTCAAAACATGTACATGTATCTATAAATATCAGCACACAAATATGGTTACAATGTAACATTTAATGGATACTTTTGAATGCTGCTCAAAAATTATTGGGATACAGTCAATACAAATATACCTTGGCTAATATAAAATATATATATCTTACAGTCTATTTGTTTTTAAAGAAACTGCTATAATTCATATGAGAAACATAATGCTTTTATGCAAATGAAAAATAATAGGTATAAAAGTGGCATAATCATTTTCTGCTGTAAATGCACTTTAGTTTTTAAGTTAGTCAGCCATTGGATGTAATACATCTTAAAAAAGGTGCTGAACCTGCCACTTTGATAAGAATGGACGTACAATACAATAAAAGACTACAATAAAATTGAGAGCAATCAAGTAATTGCATTTTATAGTTCCTATGAAATATCAAGTTTAAGAAATATATATGGCCTGAAAACTGCATTTATTTAAAACAAAATGGCCACCAGTCAGCCATTTTGAAACAAACCATAAAACAATATACAACATGCATCAAGGTCTCATAATATTCAATGTATATACCAAGTTTGAATGAAATCTGTCCATGTACAGCTGATATACAAATCCAGAATTGCGTAAATGCTTATTTTGATAAATTTTTAACATCAAAATGGCAACCATTCGGTCATCATGAATCCAATCAATATGCATATGTGCAATATGATGTATATATGCAAGCCATGTCAAATTTGAACATGACCTGTCAAGGTATGTCAGAGATATAGGTATGAAACAACATTTGTGACCACATAAATGACCATTATTCATCAATTTTGAAACTGATCTGAAAACCAAACAGACATGTCATGCATTAGGGTCTCTCATTGTCTGAACAGAGACTAAATATAATACATACAATAAAATTTTAGGGATAAATTTATTTTTGTAACTTGTATATCAATTATAGAGCACAGTTAAAATATACAATTTTAATAGACTAAGTATCAATCGATTAATTTTAAGAGCTGTATATTTTGCTACATTTTGTACCATAGATGCAATCCTGAAATATAGTGTTTATAACATCACTAGCAACTAGCAAATTACTACATCTATTGAATAGTTAGATGTCTAAACTAGACAAAGTGGTTTTAATTTCTAATCAGAAGTCTAAACCCGGAATAAATAATGGAATCATCCACCAGGTGCACTGCACCTACATGTATGGGGCTCATAAAAGATTCCAGGATAATCAGTTCAGTGCCGACAAACAACAGCTCCCCAAGAGCAAAGTACAGGAGTCTGAGGGGGCTGGCAAGTAGTGCAAGTAATTGGGAGTGACTAATAAAAAAGTAGACTAGTTTGGAAAGTAGTCTTTCTAGTTTATGATGTCACTAGCCAATGACTACCGCTAGTACTAATGGATTAAACAAGACATACCGGTAGCGTGTGAATTTTAGAAGCGAAGCTGCAGGCACCATGTTTGAGATCATGCACAAAGTAAAACACCATATGGATTATCAAGAGTGAAGATTTACACTACTACAGGTAGATAGGAATGAGGTAGATAGTAGTATAAACAGGGAGCATGTCTGCTTATAGTGACTATAGATGCATTTGTCAAGTTTCTACCTCAAACCCCACGTTTCATGTTTATATGTTCATATGTGCCTGTAGTTTTGATTACGATATGCCTACACACTGAGTAGAATCAAAGTGAAAAGCCATAACTTGAACGATGAATGAATTAAGTAGGACTCTTAGACTTGTATTTATCATTCAGGATTATTGATTGGCGATCAAAGCCACTTTGTCTAGTTAGGACAAATACACAATGTATCTAACTATCCAATGGTATAAGTAATTGGCAGTAACTAATAAACAAGACTAGCATGGAAAATAGTCATATCATACACATTAATAAGTAAAATAACGTATTAAATTTTGTCATGCTGGTTTCTAGTTCCATCTAATGTTTCATTTTATGCTTATGTATATTGACACAAACGACCTCAATGATGATATTCTAGAACCTACATACAATCCATGTATATAACAAGTTATTAATTTAAAGTGATTCAAAATCTGGAATTAATTCTATTATATAAATTAAGGTACCATATTTGTTCTATTACATGCTTGCGTAAATATATTGTATTTTTATTTAAACACTTCAAACAACAAGAAGGCAAAAATACGTTGTTTTACTGGTGCTTCTATAATAGTTTAATCCTAATCTGGTCAAATCAATGTAAAAGTACGTTGGGCTGACAGAATAAGGGTTAATAGAGCAAACGCACATGTCAGAAACAGCCAAGTCAAACTTTGTCATGACTAATAGACAGTGACATATCAACTGGTGTGGGGTCAAAGGTCGGATTTCAATTATGAATATTTCATAAAAGATACAACCTATACAAATGTGGAATTAATTTTAATTTAGTTCAAATGACTGAAATGAGTGATGAGGCACTTACATTTACGCAGGTAATATCTATCTGCTGTCACAATACAGCTACAATGTAGCAAATGCTACTGTAAGTGTAAAAATTTATTTATACAAACAAACCTGTATACACAGATTATCATTTTGTATTATAATTATCAAATTGAAATTGATGCCATTAGTCATTTGGACTGTATGGCTTGTAGTACATATAAATGTACATGCAGTGACATGTTGGATGTGAATGTGTTGAATGTAGCTCTCTTGCACAAATTAATTATAGTAAGAAATCAATGTTAAAACATACATTTTATAACACTTTGTTAACTAAGAGACACATAAGCACAGTTGGTATGCTGTAAAACACCTAGAACATTATGTTTCAATAATGATACAATGCAATCAGAAATTTGAAAACATCAAGAGATTACAGATTGTGCAACTCTAATCTGAAATAGGTCAGTTAGGAATACCAATTCCATTAGAAGTCTGACCTGATGAAACCTTTCTGTCAAACACATTTACCAGACCCATAAGAATAATCAAGATTCTTTTCAGGTGAAAACACTGAAAATTGTCTCTATTATGACAAAGTTTCTACAAATTCATATATTGAGAATGAGAGAAAGAATATATTGAGAATTTGCAAAATTGCAAAACAGATTTAATTTAAAAGCATTCAAGCTACCATTGGGACTACAAAACTGAGTCATAAGCTGATAATCATTGAACAGTCACATATACTAAATCACACAGTATCATGGATTACTACTACAAGACTACACTGCATCTAATGTATTGTTTTACACTGCTAATAACCCTGAAGATTCACTAACACACTTCAAGTATATTTCTACGTTACCTTTGACATAAGTAGCTAATTTAGTGCTCAACGCCGACACACTCTGAGAGTAGTAACTGCCTGCAGAGTCATAGTGACTGAATGATTCATTTTCTCTGTCAAATACCAAGAGAGTCCTGGAAAAGAAAGAAAGTATTAAAGTAAAATAACAATTTGGGAACACATTCTGTGATGAAAAGAATCCTCATTAGCTGTAGGCTAATAGGTTTTATCATACTGTAAAGCACACATAATCTATTTGGCTTAAAAGGTAAAATAATAAATATCGGTAAATAATTTTAAAATTGCATATCTTCAAACTCCAAATAATCAACAAACTCGTATTTTATAAATTTGTAGATTTATAAATAAATTCGAATCAACACAAATTAAACAAATTGAAGTGATAGGACTTTTCATACAACAAATATACCATCAAAATCATCAGGCATGAAGGCTGCTGAGTTCAATCTAATGACAGGTTATGTGCAAAGATTGTCAATATCTAAACTGAGCTGGAAAAGTCAATCACCCATATCTCAGTTTTAACACTGAGCTCAAATCCTCAAATCCGGCACAAAAAAGATCAATCTCTTCACGAGTGATTGTGCCAGACACTAAAATAAGGGAAGCCTAAGTCACTGAAGATTCATTCATCTATGGATGTGACTTGAGAGAAATCATGGATTGAGGTTTGCAGGTGTTTGTGTTTGACCGAGCTGGTTGACACCACTATAGTGCATTAAATAGCCATGAAAACTACTATATATCATTAATTATACAAATTACCAAATGTCATTACCCACTCATTCAATATATCCAGTTTTATAAAGTGGTCACCCAGGGGATTTTCCTGCATGTATACTTATTGATAATTTAATTTCTTATAGTAATTTTTATTGGTAATCATAACAAGGTAAATAATATCACATACAGTTTGTATGCTTCACAGTATGTGATAAAGTAAAAGAACATAAAAAAAGATATTAGCTGACAGCTGATGCAGTCACAGTGGTGCACATTACTACTTACACTAGTATCCTCAAAAGGAAACAAAATATATACTGATTGCCAAGGTGATTGTTTTACAGTTATCATTGGAGATCAGCGATGATTGTGATTGGATTCCCCTCATTACATGGCAAATGGCCTGAGGTAGGATGTTTTTTTCAAGACTAATGTCTCTTAGTTTCATTTTACCACTCATCCAGAACTAAAGTGAAGTTGAGCCTCACTGACAGACTGTGCTGAACTTCATTCCAATTTACATTCTAAGAATGTATATAATGATAACAAAAGTCCTCCTTTAAAAAACATAGCAAAACTACCGGTACTATAAACCTCATTTTGATAAATGTAAGGGAATTAACTTTAACTGATATATTAAATTTTGATATTTTTCACTTGGTTTTAACTTCACTGATTGTCCAGTGTAACAATCAGTTCTATTTTACTGTAACATTAATTTTCATGTGGATTTATTTAATAGCAGATTTCACTTATCAACAGAAATAGTGTAATTGAATCACAGGGAATAATTAATACTTACAAATAAGACTATGGACTTGAAATTGTATGAATGTGACATTATTTAAATATGCAAGACACACAATTAGACAAAGATAAAATTTGTTTTTCAAACACCTAAGATTTCCTTCATTCTCATTTTTTGTTTTTCGTCATGTTTCAAATAAATAGTTTCTAATATGGTCAAATTTTTTTATAAATATACATTAATCAGGTATTTAAGTGGGAGGGTTGTAACCTGCACACGGTGGGAATTGAGTCCCAAGCGATGATAACAACACATGCAAAGGCTCATATGGGTAGACGCTTGTTGGTAAACAATGATACGCTACATGTATGGCCATCTGACGCATAATTGTCATGATAACAATGCAAATTAATTGTGCTGATTAATTCAAAGCTAATTTTATATGGACAATCTCACAAAATTTTCTGGCACAGGAATATTCATTCATACTATACAATACAGTTTATAAAAAATGTACATGTACCATCTATTCAACATTTGCATAGACAGGAGGCAAAAATGTGCAGAATGTTGCAAGAAAATGCGGGTGACAAATATGGCATTTTTAAAGACAAGGTCAAATCATGCATTTTCACAGAAAAAGTAACGATTGGACATTTTAGGTCACATACATGTAACACCAATATCAAACAACAGTGACATGGTGTAGTGAATAAAAGTAGAATAAAATGTTTTTTTGTTTCTTTTCAAAGGTACAAATGTACATAATCATTCAGTTTATTTCAGCTGGCATTCTATTTTTCAGTCTGTAATAGGAACCCAACATTTTGACATACTTTAAAATTGCATTGAACTGTATGTGCAAAGAATGCAATAAGGAGTTGTTATGGTAATCAGTGTCACTCTATTACCAAGTAATACTAATTTTTATTACTAAAAATGTCTAATACAGTTGACATACATGTAACGCAGTTTACATTTTCTACTGGGAATTAATGCTGATCTCATTTGCAATCCACCAGTTAACAGAGTTTTCAGTTTAACAATCTGTTCATTGGACAAACTGATAAGATAGAACTCAGTACCTGACATGAATCACCAATCAATTAATTGATTAAATTCTACAAAAAAAAAACTCATCTGCCCTGAATAGCTAATAATAAGTGTGTGTTGGTGACGTATTTTATGAACTATACATTACTATGTGAATATCATGCTGACAAAATACCAGTACAGAACAACTCTCTGAAATAATAATATTTGCAGTATTTTAATTTTAGTTGAACATTGCCATAGTGATCTTGTTGAAAAAGTAGATGTTTTGCTATTTAACTGTTATCTTGAATAGAACATAGAACAACTATTACTTGTCTTCATTGATGGTTATTAGATGCATAATGAGTTCTTGTTTCAGTGAACTTGTAAACTGTTATTTTAAGTTAAAATAACTTTGCACCTTGACTATTAAAGACTGTTAAGCTTTAATAAAGGTGCAATATCTGAAAAAAAATAGATTTTAATTTACAAAAGTTTAGGGGAAGTGGGAATGAACCAACAACATCTACCACAGCAAGTCGAGCCTCTAATGACTGAGCTATTGACTGTGACTTGTGATTGAGGGAGGGGGGGGGGTATAAACATGTACATGAGAATGGTCATTTCATTGTCACATGGTATGCATTGAATCATCTATGAGCAAATGGCAAAGATAGATCTGTGTTTATTTATAACCTCTGTTCAGTAACATGCCTGGAGCAATGTAATCTTTCAATTTTATCGTTTTTAGTGATACAAGTTTGAAACACTCACTCAATACTTGCAATTTACTCAACTCTGACTAAAACTGTAGTTTTATATCTGGAAACCCACATGGTGTTTTTAATACATAATAAAAACTATTCGTCGGTCCGCAAGTCTGTGATGGGTAACTTTTTACTCAGACAGGATAAAATCCCAAATTCCAAATTTGTGTGATGGGCTGCTATAAGAGAAAACAATTTTGAACTGTATTATTTACAAATACAAACGCATCATTATTTTTTGTAAATTCGCCTTTCAATCATTGATAAAAACATTTCCACATGCATTAGAATTAGAGTAGAGCCTCATTATAGGGAAGCTCTCATTCTAGTCTCAATGCACATAATGTGATTGTCAAGACTTCTTGTTTACATGATCAGGTGACATCTGAGAAAACAAATTTCAACTGTGTTCCAATTGAGTTGTGCCTCATAGCAGCGATGTTACACCGTTATTTGGGGGATTGAGCCTTCACCAAAAAGAACAAGTCATGCATGACACAGTCCCCGTTAGTTATCAAATTTAAGATATATAGTTTTGTAATATAGCTGGAATATGATTTTTTAACATTAAAATGATTGACATTTGTATCTGATTGTCAAACAAGTACTTGTCCATATTGAGAGATATTGCTCTGGAACAGCATTCAAAATCAGCCATTTTGAATACATGTATATATATATAACATGATGTATAATGAATATATAAAATTTGAATATAATCAGTCAAAGCATTTAAGAAATATGGCTCTAGAAGCCCAATCATTAAAACAAAATGCCCGCTAGTCAGCTATTTTGAATCCAATCTGAAAATTAAAATGATGTGCATCAGGAACCTGCAATGTCTAATGTATGTTATAAATGCAAGAAATGCTTGATATTTGAGGATTTTTTTAGCACAAAAATAGCCACCATTTGGGCACTTTGAAAAGGATCGTCAAACCAATATATTCGTATATCTACATGTATGACATGATGTATAATGAATATTACAAATTTGAACATAATCAGACAAAACAAGTAAGACATATGGGTCTGGGAACCCATTCATTTAAACAAAATGGACAGACAGCCATTTTGAATCTGATCTGAAAAATAAAATGATGTGCATCAGGAACCCGTAATGTCTAATGTATCTACCAAGTTTGAACGAAATCTATCCAGAAATGCCAGAAATGCTTGATATTTGATACTTTTTTAGCACAAAAATGGAATCGTCAAACCAATATATCTGTATATCTATGACATGATCTATAATGAATATTTAAAATTTGAACATAATCAGTCAAAGCAAGTCAGAGATATGGCACTAGAACCACATTCATTAAAACAAAATGGCCGCCACTCAGCCATTTTGAATCTTATCTGAAAAACAAAATGTCTAACGTATATACCAATTTGAACAAAATCCATCTGTAAACAGCCAAAAAATGCTTGAATTTTACGATTTTTAGTACAAAAAATGGCCGCCATTCGGCCATCTTGAATCAGATCATGAAACAAATTGCCGTGCATATGTATAATATCATGTATGATGTATGTGTGAAGTTTGATTGTGATTGGTCCAGGCATTTCTAAGATACAGGCATGGACGCACGGACGGACACACGTAGGTCAAAACATAAGTCCCCGGGGACTAACAATGAAAGGAAGGTAGCTAATAATGTATACGATAAGACCAAGAGAAATCAAACAAATGTAGCATCATGGAAATTGTAATTTGCATGGCTAATTATGAATGATGTGCGGGTAGGCAGGAGGTTTACTGTATAATATGTATGTCAAGCAGCCAATTGTCCTTTCACACCTCAAAAATTATCAATAAAATTCAAGGAAATAGTAC